TTTTATTATCTGCCTGTTCGAATTCGCGGAATATGTAAAACACATACATTTTTTTCAATTAGCAAAACGTTTTGCTGCCGCTGCTTTGCAGAGATTGGCGAAAAAGGAAATTGGCTGTCATTTTGAATGTCCATTCAATTTTTAATCGCGATTGAATGAACCCGGTGCGTTGTGCATACAAATTTCAACATTTCCGATTGAATTCCATCCACTTTTTTTTTTATTGCTCTTTCTGTGCATATATGTTTCCATTTGATTGCACGAAACACAACCGAACCAAAGCCTGAACGAACATGCGAGACTGCGGTTTTGTTTGGGACGAACACACTGAATGTGTGTTCATTTTATTTTTTTCCGTTTGACATTAGATTACCAGGAAAAAGATAAAAACATCATTGAACTGAAGCGACGCATGTAAATCGCATTCACACACACAATGCAAGCAATTTTGTGTTTGTATCGTTTGTTTCACTTCATTTCGTTCTACAAGCTATTCTCTTTTTCTCTTTTGTTTAATTTTATGCCGAAATTCGAACACCAAAATGAACAAAAATATACACAAAGAGAGAGAGAGAATAAAAATTGGCCTGGCAAAATACAGTCAATGGTCAAACTGATTGAGGAAAAACGCACAGATTTTTATCGTTTCTCCCTGCGCTTGCTCATGACAGATACACATAAATCACTGAATGCATTTCTTTACCACAAAAATAAGAGGAAAAAAATAGAATAGTTTGCGACTTAGTTTCCAACTGTTGAAAAAATAAAATAAAATTTAAAAGAAACCAGAACTTCAAAATGCCAAACGCACCGTACCGACGAACAAACTGAAAATTCGCAATAATTCTCTTTCTATTGCTCTCTCCAACTGCTTTTGTTCTTTTAATAGTCTTTAGAAATCGTTAAACTGAAGAAAGATTTTTTACAGTTTAGGTATTATTAAGAAAGCAATCAAAACCACGGGGGAGTTGTCATTGTGTTGCACATTCGTTTCGTATTCTCTTTCTATCTCTTACGATTCAGTACAAATGAGATCGGGAATATGTGGTATATGGGATTAAGAAAAACTTTTTGCAGCTTATATCGGTCAATTGTTCGGTTGAAGTTAACTGCTGATTAGAGAGTATTAAAATGCGTGTTTGTTTGTTGAATGTAATGAGTTAATTAATGAGCTTTTTGATACATTTTCACAACTTAGTGGCAACACTTCAGCGCAACGGACGACGGTCACATTTACCCAGTTTTTTTTGTGTGTTTTGAGCTCACTCGAGCAACGATATTATTTGTATGTAATTCGAGACGAAAATTATTTAAAAACAAAAACATCAGACTTGTTGCTCCATTGGTAACATGTGGCGCTACTTCTTATGAACTATCTGTCTGTTTCGTTTCTCTCATTTGGTCGTCTGCAAAGTTTACCACATCATTTTTGCGTTTAATAATTTAAGTGTGAAGGCGAAAATTGAATTGATGGACAGTGTCATAAACATTTGGTAATTTTATTCAATCTCTGACGCTCTGACTCTTACTTTGGCCAAACAAACTGAAAACCAAATATTAAATTCTTGTTTAACGTTTTCCCCGAAATATACACCCAAAAGCGTTGTGTATACACGTTCTATGTGTGAAATTGTTTGCGGCAGATGGATGATTCATGTGGTGATTGGGCCGGTTTTTAGCGACAATAAATACCGACCGTCTGGCTATTGTATGACGATGATGATGATAAAATTAAAAACGTGTGAGATATCTATCATGTGGCGATGAATGGTTGTTGCGATGCAACGCGATACGACGGTCTGTCTACATTCCATTCCACGATTTCGATGAAAAACCAACCAACCGAAAATTAAAAATCGCCAATTCAAAAAAAAGGCATGACGCGGCACTGAAGTATTGTAAAATCCATAAAAAAAATTGCCAATAACGATTTTTTTGCAATATATTTGATTTTCCGAGCCGGAAATTTTACCATCGATCGACCAATCTCGACTTTGTTTTTATCTCTGTATCTCTCTTCCTTTCTGCCAGACAAAAGAATGCTCCTTTTTCGTGCATTCGCCTGAACATTAACATGCTATTATTATTATTGCTTTTCTCTTTCGACGTTTGGTGCGCAGATCTCGACTGCCATATGAAGCCATAAATAAGTCGAGTTAACGCAAAACGTATCATTATTGATGTGAGAATGCAATCAAAATTCTTAGCAAAATTATGCATATTATGAGTTTGGGCGATAGCATTTTACTCTGAGAATGATGAAACCGCACGAAACAATCTCAACAGCAACGACAATTGTTGAGGTAAACCACAGCGCATTGATTGTAATCATTGAGGATAATCCGTTCACTCATGCATTGATGGATTAATATTATGCTCGTTCATTGTTGAATCGCTGCAATTGTTGAAAAATTTATGAAGAAAATTAAGCGTGCAGTCAATAGGCTAACACCGATTATGAAACGATTTTCAAATTTCTCATGTAAATGAACAAATCATTCGAATATGGTAGAAAATCAATTGAGGTATTAATTATAAAATATCTATGCTGCATAATATGCGATACTATGTATGTTTTTGAGATTCTCTAATAAGACCCATTATGAAAATTATATAGTGATGAACAGGATTGTGAACAAGAACCCATTTAATCGTACACTGTTTAAAACAGAAATAAAAGGAACAAAATATGGATTAGTAATGAAATAATAGAAGTGGCGTATGCATACGATACGCCGTCGTTATGTGTGTGTTTTTTTTGCAATTTCATTTAGCGAAGCAATGCATTTGGCTGCTGTATACTAATATACGTCGTTTAATATTTAATTGTTCTCACACGCAATAGTTGAAATTTTCTAATTAGAGCAAATGCGGCACACGGAGAAAATTAATTTTTTTTTATCGGGAATAACATGTCTCTCGTTCTCAGTCGAGAGCTAATTGCACATTATTAAATAAAATATAATGAAAAAAAGAATAGCAACGACATCAAAGCAGAACACTGAAATTCACCGGAAAATTTGCTATTCATTGGCATGTCGACTCGTGAGTCCAGCGAAACATGATTAATCATATACGCAAAGAAAGATAGAGAGATAGTGAGAGAGCGAGAGAGAGAGAATCATCGTCACCGTCATTCATCATAATGCTGTCATTTGCAAGTGTATACTTCTCTTTCGCTCATCAATGTAAACATGAATAGTACAATTACTCAAATGATGATTATTATTATTGTTATTACGACTTCTAGTTATTTGCAGCCGCGGTTTGGTTTTTGCGTACGGTATATTCAAGCAATTTGCTATAATATGAGCTTAAATTAACGTTAATAATTTATTTTCACAATATGTCGATACACAAATGGCACATACACACAGAGAGACACTTACAATTGAATATAAAAAAAATGAAGGCAACAATCATAATGATACTCAATAAACATGAGTAATTTTAAAAATTCTAAAGAAAAAAAAAGAGATTGTGGTTAGATAGTTTCGATTGATGTTTGTAGTACACTCGTTTGTACTGACAAAGTGGATAATTTCCGAGAACACACGTTTGATATGATCGCATAGAAAGCGAATTAATAACACGAAAATATATAATGATTTTCTTATTTTCTCGGCGTGATTGCTCTTCAGTAAAATGAGCAATGCACATACACATTCTGTTCGGTTTTGTTTAACTTTAAGCATGACGATTTTCATAAAATAAAATAAAAATCACACATTTTCCCAACCTCAACTCGACTCATGCCCATTTTACCACACAATTTCATAGATTAATGCTCCGTTGGAAATATAGACAGTTGCAAAATTGTACAATATGAAGTACGTAAATGATATTCTATCTTGGTCTGTCTCGTTCGTTATCCATCCGTCGTCTATCGCTGCGATCAATGAATCCAGTGTAATAATTTGTTCCAAGAAATGCATTTGCGTAATTTCACATTTTGCGCACTGCAAAAATGCAAAGGCCAAGCATTCAACTAACTCTCATGATGCATACAGATACACAAGCACAGGCACAGACACATAGATATATGATTATATGATTATAGCAACTTTTATATCCAACAAAATGATTTATAACTCTTACAAAGTGCTTATTTTGTAAGGTTTAACTGCCGTATGTGAACTGTTGCGTTTTTTTTATATTTCGGTGTGTTGCGTTAATACATGTGCAAAAATTGCCGCTTGTGAACGTGCTCAAATCTCTTCACTTCGCACATTCGCATCATTGTTATACCTAGGAAGAATCTTCAATTATACATCTGACCATAAAAAAAAAGAATAAATTGCAAACAAACGAACAAACGAGCTAATGCTTGGAAGTAATGTGAAATTACAAAAGTTAGAGAAGTTTCGAAAGTATCTTATCCATTAACAAAAAAAAAACAACACTTGAACAATCAATATCGATGATATTTTGTGGAATTTTGTCATATTTTACAAATCCAACATCATAGCAGTTTGTCATTGTGGTTGTGGTTTCGACGAAAAATCTGCCACACGAATATGAGTCAATTACTTGAAAATTATGACGTAAATAATGATGAAGAAGAGATGCTTTCCACACACACAAACACACTCGGTGGCGAGTTCATTTAATGTACTATTTTATTTTCGCACGAAAAATACTGATGTGGTTGAGAGTTGGGAGGGAGCACAAATTATTTCGTTTTTTCCTTTCAAATATATTTCGCAATTGGCAGAGCACTGCCGTCGTCATATCGTAAAACACTGTGCGAGAAACAATGAATTTCTCGGAAATGTAATTTTTTCGAATGAAATTGATATTTTTACACATTTCATAAGAATGTTCCACTCAATGATCACAACAAATTGGTTTTAGGTTTATTTAAACAGAAAAATGCATGCCCCATAATAACTAAAACATACCACTAAAAGTGAATTGACACTAATTTATTTCAATTTTGTTCAATTTTATAATTTTTATTTATCATCGTTTGTTTTTTTTTTCTTTTTCTTTTTGCCCAGGTTTAAAAACGGACAACCATACCCATGGTCTTCATCATTAATTCTGTATCCGCAAGCAGAAAACCAGACGATTTACACGAGACACGCAACAGTCAACGACAATGGGAATTATACATGTGTAATTCGCAACGATACTCATAAAATGGAGCATGTTATCGAATTTACTGTTCAAGGTAATTAAATAAACAAGACATTTACAATTTTAGTCATTGTGTATGCTTAAATGTGTGCGGATACGAATGCATATAGGAACAACTATCTTATCTATTTAACATATCATAGTTGTGCTGGGTTCTTTTTTCTCTTTAATTCTTATGTTCGTTGGAGACAATAATCAATTTATATTTTTATCTAATCATATTTTTTTTAATTCTTTGCGCAGCGAGCCTACCAGATTCGCCTCTGGCGACATACAAACCACACGATCAGTATATTGAACGGAGCAAAGAGGCACGTTTCTATTGTGAAGCATTTGTCGGATCCATTCGTTTACCGGACTCGAAAAGTTTCATTTCATGGTTTCGAGTGTTTGATGATGGTCTTGAGCAAAATATTGAAGCACAGGAAGTGATAAGAAGGTGAGCTTTTCCAAACTAATAATCGTAATTAAAACTTGAAGTTTTAAACGTTTTATAATTTAATTATACAATTCAATTGAATATATTGAGTTAAAACTAGAACACATAGTTAAAACTTGATTTAATAATAATTTTTTTTTGTTCACGTAACAGAGAGGACAATCAAATCGTTGGTGCATTATTAATAATCTCTGCGGTCGAGCTACACGATTATGGTCGATATTTATGCCGAATTGAAAACGGAAATGCTGCTCATCGTCTGGAAATGTCTGCATGGTTGATTGGTGCAACTCCAATTAATGCCCAAAATGATTCATTGATGCCGGCTTTAGTACTTGCTCTGAGTGCGGTTACTTTATTCATATTAATGATGTTGGCCATCAAATATTTATCGGTGTATGTTAGATCGCATCATCGGCGCGATAAGAAATTGTGTCATTCGATGCATTCGAGTGAATCGATTAGAATTCGAGAAGTAATATAAGTTAAAATAAAAATGATATACTACCACCACGACTAAAGAATATTTTAAAGATAATTCACTTCAATTCCATTCAAATCGGTTTCATTTACTTAATTCATTACTTAACCTATTCCATTCATTTTCGCAACATCGCAAACGAAATTTTACCGATTGACAATGTTATTGATTCTCATTACAATTATGATTTGAAGAATGTCGACTTTTGACATTTTTTGCGAATTTTCTGGTGATTTTTTTTCTATTTGCAAGTAATTTTTATGAATGTTTTTCGAATGCATTGAAGAATTATTATTTTAGTGACGAATATACTATACTATTTTGTAAATAGTATAATGCTATGTACTGTTCTTTTTTTGAGGAAAAAGAAAACAAAAATTATAGTCAGATACTTAATATTATGTATTATAATATTCTAATTTATTGAAATGATCGCATTAGATAACAGTAGCCATAGATGTTAAAATATCAATTTTCAATGATAGATGGAAAACGGAGAATTATACTTCTGGTTAATGATATCAAAACAATTAAATTAAATGTTCATTTTGAAAATGGTTTAGCACACAGGTCAAGAAAGTTTGTCAAAAAATCTTGCACGCGCAGAATAAAATATAGCATTCAAAGAATATAAATATATCTTAGATTTTATGTGTAAGTGTTTACTCGGCATTGTTCGATGTGAAGATATATGTGACTGTAATTTGCTATAATATAAATATATATATGTATGAGAATAAATGAATCATTTTACTTCGTAACTTAAAGAAACCATCAAATGCTTTTCATTGTGTTAAAATAGCTTTTCGTTGTGTTTGAGATCGACAACTATGTAAGTGCCTCTTTACATTGCTTCTATACTTTCATTGAAATTATTGGCCGTAACTTACGTAAGTTGAAATTTGCGCATGACATCTCTTCCGAATATGGAAGCTTTAGAAATTCTTCAATTAACACGAATAAAATGAATGCGCAGTCGTCTTTAACGTTCCAATAAATGTTCTTTATTGCGTAAAAGGCACATTTTTTCTTAATAATAGCAACATTTAATTAGTTGTAACATGCAAACTATATATAATTTTTTTTGTTTGGACAGCGATGAATATGTGGCAGAAAAAGAAACAAATATGAGGTAATTGTCTGTTTGTTTAGTACTTGATTCCAATTTTTATATATCCATTAAATTGGATATTCAATATAAATCGGCAACCAGTCGATATATAGGTCCATTCATTTAATAAAGTTTTTGCACAAACTTAAATCCAATTGCAATTGATGCGCTTATAACAAAACATGACAAAATTGTCAACAAAAATAATTGTGGTAATAATGAATTAAACTAAACTAAATTTAACCTAAATTTTGAGGAAATTGATTTCAGTTTTTTTGGCAGTTTTATTCCACTTTGTTCTTGCGTGCTTCATGGGCGTCTGCGGCCATCTTGCACAAGTTGTCAAAGGTAGATCGTCCAGTTTGTTTGGCCATGCCGTAAAACACTTTATTACCGCTTAGATCGTTCAGCAGCTCATATGGACTGGCGTATTCCACCAACTGTCCGGCATCCATCACCTATATTCAAATAACATTTAATTTTACCCACACATAAAACGATGTCAAACTGAATTTTGTTACCATAACTTTATCGGCGTCCATAATTGTATGCAATCTATGGGCTATCGTCAGAATTGTGCAGTCTGCAAATCGATTTCGTATTGTTAATTGAATTAATGCATCCGTTTGTGGATCAACATTGGCCGTCGCTTCGTCTAGAACTAACACTTTATTTTCACGCAGAATGGCACGTGCCAAACATATTAATTGACGTTGACCCACACTGAAGTTGGCTCCACTCTCTGTGATTTTGCCTTGTAAACCGCCTGGCATATCTCGCACCGCATCTTTTAATTTAACTTCTTCGAGTGCCGACCATAATTTTTCATCGCTGTACTCATCGAATGGATCCAAATTGTAACGCATTGACCCAGTGAAGAGCACTGGTTCTTGTGGAATGATTGAAATTTTTGATCGTAAATCATGCAAACCCATTGAAGCTGTATCACGTTGATCGATCAAAATAGAACCGTCATTGTATGACAACCGGAATAGTGCGTTTATTATGCTGGATTTTCCAGCTCCCGTTCTTCCGACGATACCAATCTAATGTGAAGAAATGCATTTAGTTTGTTTTTTATTACGGAATTAGTTTTGGTAAGTTTCTTTTTCAACCTTTTCCATTGGTAAAATATCGAAGTCCAGATCTTTCAGCACCAAATCAGCCTCCGGATCAGGGAAGTAACGCAAGGAAAGTTTATCGAAAATGATGTGACCTTGCTGTGGCCAATCTGGTGGTGGTTTTCTGTCACCCGTTGCTTCTAACTCATCTTCAGGATCGACAGTTTCGTATTCAACAACACGTTCCACGGCGGTCATTGTGTTCTCAAGCTCAGCACTCTATTGCAAAAAAACAACATTATTATGTAACTTTTGTGCACTGCATCGGAAATGCGAAACAAATTATCGCTTTTCAATTAGTTTAGTATCTTACCTGTCGCATGCCCCATTGCACCATTCCTAGCAAATAAAGTAAAGAGTATTCCACATGAGTATCAAACCACTTGTCATTAAAGTTTGAATACGTACCGGTCATTGCAAGAGCCTGTGTAATAGCCAGGCCGACATTTCCACCTTCACCACCAAAGATGAAGAAACTGATTGTAACAACAGCAATATACATCACACAGAATATATCCAACCAGAAGCCAAATGCACGAGACGTTGAAATGAATAGATAAAAGGCTGAACTGTGGTTATCTTGAATTTTATCAAATTCTTTGATGAGAATTGGTTGTGCGTTGAACGAACGAATTGTGGTGAGTCCGGTGAGTGATGCACTCAAATGTGAATAAATTGGTGAACGAGCTGAAACAAATTGAGGTTGGATTGAAAAACCATCTAAATAAAAATGAAACAACTACTTACTTATCGCTTCTATTCTTTTGATGTTTCGTGACGCTGACAGATAGTAGCCACGCAAAAAGTAGAAAATTATACCGACAATAACCGTTGGAATTATAAAGTAATAGTTTACGATAGAAATGACAATAATAATTCCGAATAATTGCAAAAATATTTGAATGACGTCTATCATAACTGCTGGCAAAATTTCATCGACTTGACCCATATCTTTGGAGAAACGATTCAAAATACGCCCCGATGGATTCGTGTGAAAGAAATACATTCGAGCTCGTGTAACACCTTGAAACATTGTATTGTGAAGGTTACGAGATGCTTTCATTGCAAGCTATTTTAAAAAATGATGATGATTTTATGTCAATTCAAATTAAAAGAATATTGTTTTAAAAGAAAGGAAAAAGGAAATGACACATACTGAGAAAAAGATAAAGCTCCGAATCAATGTCACGATGATAGTGGCGATGATAAGAGCAGTAAGCGTGTAAATATACACCAAACGATCGGTGTTGGCTATTCTTCTTGTAAAATCGGCGAGTTTGCCTTCGGTCACATGCAAATCGACATCGGGATTTTCGGTAGGATCGTCCATTTGTCTTTTGTTTGAGACCTCTTCTTGTTTAACCCTATTGAAAATCATGGTCAACATCTTATTTCAACATTAGATCATGCCATATAAAAAACTCACCAAAATTGAACGTAATAATCGCCCCCAGAAGCCAATAATTGTGCCAATACACAAAACATAACCATAATAAAAAACATCAAATAACCACCGCCCGCTTTGAAATATTTCGCATACATTCGCATTCCAATTGATCCTTCGGCCCGTTTCTCTCCAACATCCATTGGATCTTCTTCCAATATTTCTTCTTCCAACGAATACATACTACCCATACTGCTGCGTCGGCTACCTCCGAGTGTTCTTCGGCTTCCTGATCGTGAACGACTCAATGCACTTTCACTGCCAGTTTCTTCTTTGCCCGTTTCAAGAATTTCCATCAAATCCAAACCACGATCTCGTAAATTGTCATAGCTGCCCACCGCTTCGACTCGCCCATTTGATAGAATGACAATTTGATCCACATATTGCAAGAATTGCAATTGATGAGTCACCTGTATTCACATACGACACATTTTATTCGATAAAATACGAATTCATTAACGAAAGACTTTGTGAAAAAAAAAAAACATGTATTACCAAAATGACTGTTTTTTCCTTGAGAAAATCTCGGAGGCACTGGTCAAAGAGATGCTTACTGACATGTGTATCAACAGCGCTCAATGGATCATCAAGCAAATAGATTGCAGCTTTGCGATAACAAGCACGAGCCAAGCCAACACGAGCTCTTTGTCCGCCACTAAGACTTGCACCACGTTCACCAATAACTGTCCTATCACCATGCGGCAACAATGCAAAATCTCTTTCTAAGGCACACTTTCGCACAACTTGACGATATCGTTCACGGTCGTAAGGTTGACCAAACAAAATGTTCGACCGAACGGTACCTTTTGAAATTGATGTTATTTGTTAAATGGCTTTTTGATGATTTCAAATTAAAATGTTATACTGATTTATAATGATTTATTTTGACATTTTTTTTGATATCGTTTTTAGAATGTGCAATTTCATCATTGATATTTTTTTTTTCGTTCATTACATGGTTTTAATTAATTATTTCGCAAATCACTCGATTGATAGACTCTAAATTAAAATGAACATCTGTTTGATAGACATTAGATTATCATCTTCATGTGGTGAGTTGATTTAGTCTAAAAATGGATATACTTGCCAGTGAAGAGCCATGGTTCTTGTGCAGCATATGATACGGCTCCATTGACCGTAACAGATCCGGACTCGGGTGGCAGTTCACCGAGAATTGCCTGGAATAAACTCGATTTGCCAGCACCAACGGTGCCAATTACAGCAACCAAAGTACCGGGCTGTGCTCTAAAGTTGATATTATCCAATGTATAATCGGCGGATGCTTCGTTCCAACGAGCTTTGAAATTTTTCAAAACTACGCCCGCTTGTGACAAATGGGTGGCGGCCATTTTATCCATTTCTTCTTGCGTTAAATCGTGATCAGGATCGCTGTTCTCCTCCAACGACGAAGTACTTTCGGCAAATTTACCTTCGGGTTTGTCCATCATCTCTTCATACATCATAAAATTTTGAATACGACGAATCGAAACAAGGGCTTCGGCCAATTGACCGACCCCCTGTGGAAAGAAAACAGTCATCGTAACACGTAGTATATTGTAATAGGCTGTGATGACAAAAGCTTTTTCCGCAGTAACCAAATTGCCGAGCAGTGCGAATGCCACCAAACTGATAAAGATTGACACACGCGTTGTAAACATAATGAATGATAACAATATACCACGAATGAATGACACATATTTTATCACGTTGATTTCTTTTTTTCGTGCATATTCAACCATTTTACTGAAGGGCCTCTCCCAAGCTGCAATACAGAGCGAAAGATACAAGAAGAGCGATTAAAATGGTATGATAGTTCAAATGGAAAAGAGAATACACATACCGTACATCTTAATAACTTGAATGCCTTGAATGATTTCATTCATGAGACGTACACGTTCGTCTGTACGCAATGCCGTTTTCAATCGAAACACCGACGTTTTCTTTCCCATAAACGCTTGAAATGGGATAAACATTAACATGAATATAACACCAAACACAGCTGATATTCCAATCTGTAAAAAATCATCATAGTTTTGATAAGAAAAAAAAGCCATTGATCGATGAAATGATTGAATTTTTACCTCTTGGTACATGAGATACGTTACAGCAAGTGTTTCAATCGGTCCCACCCACAGAAAATGAAGGAAAATTATGGCAATATCCAATCGGCCCACATCGTTTGATAGCAAATTCACCACTTGACCCACAGTCGTTTCGCCAAGAGCATTTTTTGATAATCTCAACGATTTTCGATAAATCATACCTTAGAAAATTTTCAATTCCATCATTTAGAAATCATTTTGTTATAAATCATATAATACTCAACATACTACACATTGCGATGCGCATTTTCATGCCTAAATGCATTTGACTCAATAGATATGGATGCATTAACATAACATTGAACGCGCTAGCCAAAACGACAGCTGTTGCATAAAAATAGGCTTCGAACATAGGGCCAAGATGATTGGGAAATGTACTCTGCAGAGAGTCTAAGATTGCACCGAAAAATATCGGTTTTTTTTTGTACCATCGTCACATTCATACCGTCCGCAGAGAGACTTCCGTTTTCTGGACGTGAAAAAAATTGCACCAATGCACCAAGAAATTCTGGTTGTGGAACACTGCAAATAACATTTATTGATTCTTATCACTTTTTGGTCACTTTTTTTACTGTTCTTTGAGTTTTTTTTTTTTTTGTTTTCATTTTTAAAATTACACAAAAACGTATTTATTTTAAAATTGAAATGGGAAAAGAACTCTTACCGAAGGAAAAACTCCAAACAAAATAAGCTCAATCCCAAAAACATAAATTCCATTCCAAATACACGCATTATCACTCGAAACAGGCTTGGTCGTTGATTTCTCATTCTTTTGTATGCCACCTCATCTTCCCAAGCTTTACACAATTTATCACCGAGATAATCAGCCTTATGGCTTTTCAACGGTTTATACAAGTCATTTTGATCATACTCTGACCTACGAGCCTGACGAAATATTGGAAAAATCCAACTATAACCGTAAAAAGAAAATATATTTTTGTATTATTTATTATGAATAGGACGGAATTTACAAACAAAAAATTGACTCAAATCAAATACCTATTTAAAAAAGCAAAATAAATTGTATCAGTAGTAAAGCAAATAATATCAAGTAGCAAAGACATTGCGGGCCAATGGATTCCTACAAACTAAAGCGAAAATATGCTTTTCAAACGTACCAGAAACATAAGTAAGAACAACAATTGGCATCTTCCCGTGGATTATCCGACAGTTCTTTACTTTTTAAGTACTCCATGGTTCTGCTGTTTCAGAGAAACCTGCGGACAAAAAAAAAACTTTGAACATTTCATGTGAAATACTTTGATCGAAAATAATTAATTGCCTGCTCTAACAGAAGTAGAAGTATCTTTTTTTAAAGAAATGTTTAAATCTAATTCACTTCGATTGTTGAAATCAACTGAAACTTAAATGCTGCACACAAGATTACCGCCATACATTTCAAATCTATTCTTTAGATATGATAACAGTGAACTTTCGCTAGACCGTAACAAAAGATAGGCAAAGTTGACATTCACCTCGGTCCTTTCACTAAGCTAATGATGTTTTTCTCTCAATTTACTGACAATGTCTGGCCTTTCTTCCGAGTCAGATAATGATTACCATTATATTTTGCTCAAACACCTTCACATTAAAATTTTTGATTTGAAATAGAATTTTTATTTTTGATTTTGGCAAAATAAATCATTAGCCAATCAGTCAGTTGTTCATGAACACTTGATGCTTCGATGCGATTGTTTCACATTTTTGTGTGGTATGAGTGCAACAGTTTTTTTCCGTACTGACAACATATTCCAATGATTTCCATCGTTTTTTAATTAAAGAATAGAGTCATCGTACAAACTTGTTTGGTAGCTGATAAAAAGCGAAAAACAACATGATCATATTCTATCGACAAAAAAAAGTGTATGTGACCCGAACTTGATAATGAAATATTAGAAGTCTTCCGTGGCTCACATAAAAACATAGTGTGGCCGTTATCAGCAATCGAGGAAAAAATCGAAATAACATTCGTTCAAATGCATCAGTTTTGAAAGTCATAATTTGTTCGTTAAAAATCTTCTAATTTTGATTTATTGCGTCTGAATTTTGCAGACAAACTCTCTATAAATAAATTGTAAACATTGGTAAACATAATGAACTTTATACATTTTTTTATGGTTAGCAAATAGCGCATACGTCCTCAAGGAAAAAATTTAAGGGGGGGGTAATTGAAAAAAATCGAGAGGGGTAAGCAAAAAAGTGAAGTGTATTTTGCGAAAAGTGTACCTTTTTCGTTTTTTTTTTTTTTTTTTGCTCCTCACTTTTTGGGCGAAAATCCCTAGCAAATTTAAAGAATTTTTCCTACGTTGAAAACAAAAGTGAGGAGCAAAAAAAAAAAAAAAAAAAAAAAAAAA